ATATCAGAATGGATGTCAACAAACATTTTTAGTTCAGCAAATGTAAACGGGTTGACATAACGCAGAGGTACTAAAGTGAACTTTCTTGTCTTTCAGGATCCAGAACCCAGCCACGTTTCAGGAAGGATATTCATTTGATCCACAAGAACTCCATCCATCAGCATTTCCATCACTCCGGTCACTGTTGCCTTGAAGATTTAAAAATTGTTTTCTGTTCTGGTGCCGTTGGGGGGGAAACAAACAGCCGAGACGAAAATCTCATCTCCATCGAAGCAGCTATGCAGCTTGAAATTCAAGTAGCACTCAACTTTATTATTTCCTATTTATACAACAAACTCCCCCGACGACGTGTGAATATCTTCGGCGAGGAGCTGGAGAGCCTGCTGAGGAAAAAGTATGAAGGCCACTGGTACCCGGATAAGCCATACAAAGGTTCGGGGTTCCGCTGTATCCACGTAGGGGAGAAGGTGGACCCTGTGGTGGAGCAGGCTGCTAAAGAGAGCGGGCTGGCCATCGAAGATGTCCGCAATAACCTCCCTCAGGACCTCAGCGTGTGGATTGACCCGTTCGAGGTCTCCTACCAGATCGGCGAGAAGGGAGCGGTCAAGGTGCTGTACGTGGATGATAACGGAGAGAACGGCTCCGAGCTAGACAAGGAGATCAAGAACAGTTTTAATCCCGAGGCCCAGGTCTTTATGCCAATCGCAGAACCCGTCGGCCAATCGTCCGAGTCCAGCTCGCCGTCGCCTCCTTTTGGGCAGTCGGCCGCCGTCAGCCCCTCTTTCATGCCGCGTTCGGCCCAGCCGCTGACCTTCACCACGGCCACCTTTGCCGCCACCAAGTTTGGCTCCACCAAGATGAAAAGCTGCGGCCGCGGCAACAACGGCACCAACGGCGGCGGTAGCAACAAACCGGCGCGGTCGTCGCCTATTGGCAACCTGGGTCTGAATGTCAACACCCTGCTCAAGCAGAAAGCCATCTCCACCTCCATGCACTCACTGTACGGACTGGGCCTCAGTCAGCAACAGCAACAGAAGGCCTCGGCTCTGTCCCCCAACGCCAAGGAGTTTGTGTTTCCCAGTCTCCAGGGCCAGGCCAGCCCCGGGCCAGCGTTTCCCGCCGAGGCCTCCCTGGGACTCGGACCTCTGCCGTACAACAATGCCTTCGACGTGTTTGCAGCCTACGGAAGCCTCAATGACAAGTCCCTCGTGGATGGCCTCAACTTTAGTCTGAGCACCATGCAGTATTCTAACCAGCAATTCCAGCCTGTTATGGCTAACTAAAACTTACCGAGCAGATGGTTATTTATGAATGGAGGTGGCTCGGAAAAGAGAGGAGAAAAAAAAAA